AACCCTAGAGTCACTTGCTGTGTCTCTACATTTAGACTATGCCTTAATTAAATAAACTGTTTAAACAGTTGTTAAAACTACACCTTTCCCATGTATTCCTTCCTGACTTACTAAAATCATCATCTTCTCTTTCCATTGGTGCTTGTATACATATACAAACTTTTTAAAATTTACCAAATGTATTAGTTGGTACCTGTCTGTGTCTTGGCATAGGTTTGTCAATGTCACTGCCGACCCTTGCAGAGACTAATTTCCCCAAAGCAGGGACTAATTTATTTTAAACAATCCATTAAAACATCTTTCATGCAGAAGTACTGAGTAAATAATATCTAAGGACTAGGATACATATATAAATATACTCTTTTTTCCTAATCAGCACTAAATCATGAGTGTTAACTTAAGGACCAAATGTTAACGACACTATAAATAAAATGATGTTTCTTGTGAACCAAACTCTACATGTAATTGAAAAAGGCAAATTTCTTCTTTGTGTAAAAAAATGACAAGGATTCCCATTCCAAAAATATTAAATTCAAAGTAGGTGATTGTTGGTGACTATCTAGTCACATTGCAACTGAGAAAAAAAACAAATTTTTCAAAAGGAAGTGATAGGACCAAGTTGATCATTTAACATATTTTTTTTCTTGTGCTGTAGACTTCTCACGTTCCTGTCAGAATTATTTCTGATTTCTCTCTCAAGACAGTTTAACTCAAAATTCTGTCATTTTCTTTCATCTAATTAAGATATATGTCAACCTCAGCTCTGGGTCCTATGAGGGGGTAAAATTACTAAAAAGCATTGTACCTGTCAAAACTTTACCTTAACAGATACATTTTCTTTTGTAGTATTTAAGTTTTATACAAAATAGACCTTATTTCATCACTGCATTTTCCTGTTTTGGAGGGTTGTACGCAAAATGTTGGTTTTATCTTTGTTTTTATACCTAAAATAATGTATTTCATTTTTATCCTCAAGATGGCTGAGTCATCAGGACAGAAATTAGAAGTCAGTGAATGCTTTGTAAATAAAATTGCTTATAGTACACAGGAAAGAGCAGAGCAATTAATTGTGGGATAGTTTGAGAAGAGGCTATCTTAAAATTTTAGATTATTTTAGGAATCACAATAATACAAGAGTGGATTGAGCTAAGTCACAGAGACCATAAGAAAAGAGCAGCAAAGCAGGGCCTGTTGGTTGACTTGAAAACAATATTCCATATTATTTGATCCAGAAAGGGATTAAGATCACCGGGGAAAGGTCGAGAAGGGAGTTGGTCCCAGAAAATAACTTTATCTTAGTCATGTGCATATTTTGAAAGAGTTTCAAAGTTGGAAAAGGTGTGAGAAGAAAAGTGGAATTACTGGGGGTGACATGGACAAGGAAAATTAGTAATAAAATTAATAATTGGAGCCCTAAAATGTTAAGAGGTTCTTGCTATATTTCAGTGGGCAAAAATGCAGACTCAAACAACTGCAGATTATGAAGTGTTTCCAGGTCCTGCAAGTGAACAGGTAGGAGCTGAGAAGTAATTTAGAGTAATAGACTGAGCAAAAATCAGAAAGTTATTGGCATACTTTTCTATCTATAGATTCTTCTAATAACTGCTTTGCTTTTATTTACTGTAAAAAGGTTTGCATTTTAAAATTTTGGCAAAGCTACAAGCAAACTGAATGCAATTTCCAATTGAAAAAAAGTTGGTTTCAAATGCTAAATGATTTTGCTTTTGTCAAAAAATACTTTTATAAAATTAATTTTTAAAATTAATTTTGAAGGTCAATAAGATATTTCCAAATAGCCTGAAGCATGATCAGGATAATCTGGAACATAACTGCTTATTTTACTGACACGTGAGGAGTTCACATATTTACTGGAACTAACACTGACACTGTCAAATCAAATTTTTATTGTCAGAAGAAAATTCAGTGAGTATTGTATTTTATAAGTAGTAGAGTTGGGGTGAGTAAAAAAACGCAAGTATTTCCTTATGTCTTTACCAATAATTAATATAAAATTTAATATTTGTGTGTCCCCATATATATTTTCATAAAAAGTAACAGATCAAAATGAATTACAATGTTTAAACGGTCCTTCATAAACAATCTTGAATATATGCTACCAAAGCTTAATAATCTTGTCAGCCGAGTTTTTTCCCCTTTATTTCCCTCTCCGCTGATTGAATTTCTATACTACTATAAATTGTCTGGAAGCATAAATACATGGCCATGCTATTCTTATGGGCTTAATGGTTCTTTTTCCATTTAGCAAAGAGAAAAAACCCAGAAAAAACATAAAGCATGTACCCCACTATATAGAGTTATAACTATTTATGATTGTGACTAACTGAAAGCATATGCTTTAACTGTTAATGATGATGAAACTGCCACATTAGGAGCATGCTTTGAAGAACTCCCATATTGTTACAGTTCAAAAGTCCTGTTCATCCATACTACCTTTATAACACTATGCATTATACAACACTAAATCAGGTTCAGCCATTCCAAAGCTGCAGCCTAAATTAGTTTACTTTTAAAACATTCCTGCATCTGAGGGAGGAGTGAAAAGTATTTTTTAAATGTATTTTGTAAAATCTATTTGGGGAAAAGTGTAGGGAGGGAAATATTAATTAGGTAACAGTGTAAGTTACAAGTTGAGGAAATGTTCATTTTATCCAATTATTTTTTAAATTTTATTTTCTGATACCTCAAATCAAATTTATATGAAGATTATGGAAATTTTAGCAGTAAGCGGTTTGGGAGTGGAAGTTATTCTCTTCCAATCTAATGTGTACAAAGATACATAAATTCCATTTTGTCTATCTCACTGATCTTTTCAAATAAATCTAAAATGCGTCACTAACAGGTATGAACATAAGTTATTCAACTCAAATACAGCAATCATTTAAATTCACCACTAAAGATGTTAGCCCAACTTCAAAGAAGCTGCATTTTATGCTGGAGAGATTTTTTTTAAAGGACTAGTGTACTGAAAAACTAATAATATGTCTCAGAATATGTGTATCATCTGTCCTACTTGCTTCGGTGGACCTAAACTGTAGACAGGGAAAACTGCAAGAATGTACTAGGAGGGTAGGAGGTGAAGAAGATGGAGTATGCAGCACTCACTACAAGCATCATGGGAATTTGTCAGAGGTAGTCTCTGAAGGTAATCGGACTCCCAATGAGCCAAGACAGCTTTTCTTTGAGAATTTCAGTAATAAACTCAAACTAAAGCACCCTTTTAGGCAAATTCAAAGAAAGGGTTTTAATTAAGCATTCTTGCTTCTTGCATATACCCTGGCTCTTTCTTCCATGACTGAAAAACAGAGAAGACAAATGTTTCTCTATCTGACAATCCAGGGGGGGGGGATTGGATTGGTGGGAATCTAGGAAAGCGTTATTTCAATAGCAAATAAGAAAACAGAAGAACAGAAAAGATGAGCCATTGCAGGACTTTGTCTTAGTCATGGCACCTATGGCACCTTAGCACAATGCACTGCACACGGGGGTGAGGGGCGGTTGATAAATAATGAATTCGATTTAATTCAATACACTCTCATTTGTATTGTGCTTTGCAGTTACAAAGCACTTTCCACATATTAGGAAAAAAACGAAGTAAATAAGGAATAAAGGGGCATGTAAGGGAATAGAAGGAAAGCAAATGGATAAAGGGAAATTCATAATAAGCAAAAAGCTGAAAAGGTTTGGGAAAGAATAAAAAAATGAGTTTCTCCCTGTTCTCAATCATTTCTAATCATCCCACCTTTCGTTCTAAAGCACCTGGACCTTGGAAAGTCGTCCTGCTAAGCAAGCCCTAAGAAGGGGCTTCCTCATTTCGGAAATGATAAGCCATCCCTGACTAATCTACCTGGAGTTTGTGCCTAGGAATAACTACGAGCAAAGCGCTAACATCATCCAAGTGTGGCCAGAAATCCTTTATTCCGTCCCATCCCTGTCAGCATTCCCTGAATCTTAGGAATCGTGGGGACTGGAGGTGGGGGTGGAGTGGTCGTGAGGAGGGGGGTCCTCTACAGGCCCCTTAACTCAGACAACAGAGGGAGACAGTGAGGCAGGAAAGCCCAGGGACTGGAGAAAAAGCCCACGTTTGCGACTAGGAGAGCGAGTGTCTGTAAGTATGGTTCTTAGAAATTGCCAGGGAAAAAAAGGGGGAGAGCCTTCAAGATGGAAGAAATGAGGGGGAATTTGAATGCGCATCACCTTACACCTGGCGTCGAGCCCCCAATAAAAAGCCATGAGGTCCAAAGCCTCAACCGGCCAGAAGAGGAGGAGGCAAAGGGCGCGCAGGGATGCCCTGGAGAGAGCTCAGACACCGGCGCGGATGCTGTCCCAGGGGAAACATGTTTTCCTCTTGAAGTAGCGCATCCCCCGAGCATCCTCAGCCCAACCTGGAGGATAGGGCAAGCTCCCCGGATTCAAACTGGGGCGGCCGCATCCTGACCCCATTATGTGGGCTTAAAAGTTGCCCGGAGAGTTGGCAATGAAAAAGGCACCTGGCAGGGGCGGGCGCTGAGGGGGCGTCAGGTTTCCCAGGAACAAAGGGGCCGAGGAAGGGGCACCAGCGCAGCAGGTCTCTGGGGGAGCCTCCCTGACGGGAGAGACGAGAGTCGCCACGTCCTCCCGGCCTGGGGGGCGCCAAGGGGGAACCGGTAAGGGGGCAAGATGCGCCTTGATTCCGCCACCCCGTTTCCAGTCTCCTATCCTCCCGCGCTCTCCGCGCCCCTCTCCAGCTGGGGAGCCACCCGCGGGAGACAATAGGAGACAGGCATCCCAAGCCCCGATCAGCCCCGGACGACCCCCGCCGCCACCCGGCGCACCACGATCAGCCGGCGAAAGCTTCAGCCGCGGTGGGCGCCCCTTCCCTCCCGCGCGCTGGGACCCCACGCCCCTGGGCCGCCTCGCCCTCCGCACAGCGGGCATTACCTTTCATCCAGTCCACTACTTGACTCGGAGACCATTTGCTCACTGGTTCCATGATCAAAGCCATGGGCACGGGCTCGGTTCCGCGCGGGGCACGGAGCTCCGACACAAACGAACTCAGCAGCCCGAGCCGCGCTCAGGTGGGGTCCCTCACTGGCCGCTGCCTCGCTGGACGGGCGGCGCGGAGAAAGCGGCTTTTGTGTGTCGGGTCTCGCGGCTACAATGTCTCTAAGCACACAGCCGGCAGCAGCGGTGCGAGCGGTGACCGGGAGGGAAACGCGTTGGGGTCGCGGCTCCACTCGGTCTCCGCTGAGATTGCGGCTGCTGCGGTTGCTCTGACTCTTCGCTCGGGTCTCCGTCCCTCCGAGGCTTCAGTTCATGGGTTACACGGCCGAGGGTCGCGGCTCTTGAGGGAAGGAGCCGCCGCCGCACGCCCGCAGCCAACTTGCCCGCTCGCCTCGCGCGCGGGAGTGAAGCCGCGGCACGACAAGCTGCCGGGCGGAAATGACGAGGGGCCTCCTGCCACCCAAAATATCTCTCCGCAGCCCTCGGGTGCGAGGCGCGCGCTCCACGAGCCCCCCGCCCGCTCGCGGCCGCGCGGTCCCGCCCCCGGGGCCGACGGCAGGCGCGTGAGGCGCGTGCGCGTGCGCGCGCCGGCACGAGGCCCCAGCCGGGGGGTCTGCCTGTCAGTTAGGCAGGTGCCGGGGGCTCGCAGCCTGGCATTCCCGCCCCACTGGCCGTCCCGGGACAGGGGCGCGCGAGGAGCGCGTGCGCGGCACGGCGGCTGCGGCGGCGGCGGCGGCGGTGTGAGCTTCAGCCGGGGTCGGTCAGTCAGTCAGTCAGTCAGTCAGTCAGGTGCCAGCAGCGGGAGCGCTGCCCGGAAGGGCCTCCGAGCGGACGCAGCGGCGGCGGGACGGTCCGCCCACCAGTTGAACGCAAACTGCTGAGGCGGCTGAGGAGGTACCTGCGGCCCCGCCGCCAAGGGGAGGGGGACACCGCTGAGCGCGGGGTTACAGCAGGAACCCGGGCTTTCTTCGCTCCCGCCCGCCCCGCTGCTGAGTGGGCTCCCGAGGTGATTCCCGAGCCCCGCGCACGCCTGCGGAGACGGAGGCGTGGAATGCCGCGGACGGGAACGGGGCTCCGCCAGCCCAAAACGCAGCGATGACGAGGCAGGAGGGCCGGTGCTGTGGGGCCGCCCCCAGTGGTGCGCTGTGCCCGGGACCTGCAAGTGCGGTGGTGGTGGTGATACCGAGACAGGTTGGGCCCACGTGCCTTTTGAGGGGCTCTGTGTCGGGTTTTCGGCCAACTCCTCCAACGCTGGGAGCGCCCACTACCTATTTTAGAGGATGTCTCTTTGTTTTCAGATATTCTTATATTAGAACTGAAGGGGAACGCTGGAATTGTAAACATGATTCTTCAGAACTCATGTTCTTCAGAAATCTTACACAAGCTACTATGCAGCCCTTAATAAAAGACAGTTCGCCTAATGAGGCTTCATTTTAAACCACAAATAATCCTAGAAAGTATAGATTCAAACACTCTACCACCATTATAGATATTTTCTCTTTGTCCTTAAATAGCTCCATTGCGTAAAAGAAAAACTCATCTTATTTCTATAACCATTTCAATAATGTCAGTAGGTTTTGCCAGTTCCTGCAGTAACCCATTTTCTCTAGTGCAATTGCATAAGATGCATAACTGCCGCTTTTCTCAACTGGTATGAGTTGACATCCCTCCACACCCCCCCATACACACACAAAGAGCTGAAATCACAGTAGTTAAAATATTTCGATGTTTTCAGGCTAGTGGTACAAACCAAGTAAAACTTAAGATGGCCTGTCTGTAGATGTGTTTATTTTTTTAATAATCCAAATTTAAAATATATGGGACATTCTGGAAAGAAACTTAGAAGATTATCTCACAGACAAGTCTGTGCTCAGAAGATACAGGTATAGCACCTTTCATAATCCAGATTATGGTTGTGATTTACAATTTTTTCTTGGCTAACCAGGTGTAAAAGATATTGTATTCTGGAGAGTGCTTACATTCCAATTGAGTCTCAGAACATTGCATCAATATTTCTAGAAAAGATCATTTTCAGCCTCAGTAATTTATGAAGCAGCTTTATAATAAAAAACGTAATGAAATGGTTGCATTGTGAATTGTTACAGGTTAGTTGTAGAGGGATGTTAAAAGTAACATTATCAAAATAATACTGCTAATAATAACAATGAATATTTATTGAACACTGTGCTAAATACATACATTTTATCCTCAAAACAGATCTATTATTAGCTACATTTTACAGATGAGAAAAACCTTGGCTATCACATGTACTTCCTATCCCCAGGGCCTATTACACATAGTTCAATAAATGTTGAATAAGGTAATGAATAAGGCTTAATGAGGTTAAGTAATTTGTCTGAGGTCATGACACATGATTGTAATACCAAGTTAAGGTGATTCCAGAATATGAGCTTTTAAAACTAGTAAGAAGGGTTTGTATCAGTGACACAAAAACAACAGTACTTTGGAAGGGGAAGGCCCATTGAATGTTAACTGAATATGTCTCATCCGAGGTTAACTACAAAGGAGACCAAGCGTCACCATGAGTGTTCCTGACCAGTACCTAACCAGCAGTGTAGGAAGTGACCAAATTTTGCTGCAACACCAAACTGCAAATCCTGACTGGGCTTGTATGACAAGCAACCAGACTACATCATACTGCAAGCAAGTTTAAAGAGAGATGTTTGCATAATGAATAGAAAATCAATCAAAATAAATGCCAAAGACCAGGATGCAGTAAAAATAAGAGATGTATTTCATGAAAAGATCAATGCCAAAGAAGATGGAAAAAAAGATCCCAAAGAAAGAGGATTTTGAGGAATACCCTATATCAGAATTAAGTTGTACATGTTCTCCTCCTACTTATGTTACAGTAAGGAATTTATTTTGTCTAGTCACCTGAGATAACTATAAAAAAATGCTTCTAACAACTAAGTGACTGAGCTGAAATGTGGGTGTGGGATTCACCAAGGCCTTAGGTATTTGTCCTAAATCCTCCTTGAGGTTTCCCCTACAAAACATACAAAAAAATAAAAAAATTTGCCTTTGATTTTGACAATATAATAGGCATTAATTATTTCACTTAATTCCTTCAGAACATAACTGGCTTTTCACTCTAATATTTTTGGTTTGGGGAGAAGAAAAATAAAAGGATAAAATCATCATTGCCTTCACAATTTTATCTTTGACTCCAAATGACTCAGCTAAATGTTTCCTGCATATTTCTTTCCACAACTTTTCAAATAATCTAGCTTTTATATTCTTTGCCTATTATTCAAAATGTCAATGTCTTGCCCCATTTTTGTAAGTATAGTACAGTGTGATTATATTCAAACTTCGGCAGCTTAATTTTGCCTTCTCTTAATGCACAATACAATCTCAAAGATTGGGGGTATGGTGTCATAAAATGCATATCAAAACATAACACACTAAATGACATGATGTCACACATACTTCAACATTCTAGATACAAAAGCCAAACTGACTCTTTGGAAGCAGACTTGGATTCTTTTTGGAAGCAGGCAGAGGAGAAATATTAAATTGATTAAATTAATTGGAAACATAAAACTTGTGAGATATTTGCAACCATATCAAAATAAATCACTTTAAATCATCTTTTAATTCAATTGTTACAGTTTTGTCCTTTTTATTCTTCTCTCTCTAGATTTTAATAAAAAATTAAAATCTCTTGACCAAAATATTTCCAGTTAAGATTTTGTAGTATATATAATGAGTCTAATTACTGCAGATATGGAATTTACAAAGGTCCTCTGACTGGAATCTATAATAGGTCTCAATGGATCTGTCTTAGGGATTGGGTCAGAAAGGGATGGAGGGTCAGAAAGGCCCTTCCACTGGAAAAGGGGCCTTTAAGCCTTTGTCTCTTTGGAGCCAAAGACAGGAGTAAATAATGTGAATGTTTCTTTTGGAGCTTCAAGCTGAATATCTCTAACCTTTACATTTTCCAACCTAGGTTATTTTATAGGGGCCTTAATCTTCACTTCCCATTTCTTCTGCTAAGAAGCTTGCTATGCATCAGACCTCAGACCTGCCATGAAAGACATATTTTAATGTTTTTTTAGTTATTTAACATTTAGACAAAATGTCTTGCAGAGCCCTTTCTGGTGATTTTCCCAGTTTGCTCAGATGATGTTTTTTTGCTATAGCTGTCTGTTTAATTTTTAGATTTCTTGCTTTTTTAATGAGTAATATTTTATCATAAATTATTTTTCTCTTTTATCTTACATTTTTGAATGATTAGTGAGAAGTGACAACACAGAGCAGCAATGAGGGTAGTCAGTGTCCTAAAACCGGAAAGGATAGGAGCCCTCTTTTTTTCTATTTAGTTTTGCCCAGACCTTTCCTATAGTTTCAAACGTAGGTGTTCTATGATGGTACAAGTTGTATACCTTGTTTAGGAACATTAGCGAGACAATTCTGATAATACTAGTAGTGATAAAACAAATTATTCTTAAGAACAGTATATAAAACTTGCTCCAGAGAAAGCTTAGCAAAATGTTTGGAACAACGTTTTTACTTCCTTGCAGTATGATTCAACTAACAGCTACTAACAGCTATGAATAAAGAACCAAAGCCTCTGATGTAACCAATCACCAGATAGCAATCTGTCTATGCCCCCAATAATCAGAGAAGCAAGTAGGAAGAGACCTTTAACTGTATATGGGCATTCAGTGTGCTGCTCTGGGCCAAACCTCCCTTTAGATTATCAGGGAGCTGCACCCAGAGACTGTAATTAAATTAGTAGAATCCTTTCTTTGCTGTTCTGCCTCTAGGGTAAACTGTATTAAGTCATGTCCTTTCCAGACCAAGATTTACAGCAATCATTTCTGGGTGAAGAGAAATGGGCTTAAGTTGAGGTTATCCCAATAGGGTTTTTAAGAGTTCTTTCCAGGTATTCCCTGCTGTATTAATCACAGTTTAATTAAAATCTCAGAGCCCACCTAGATTAGGAAACGAAGTTTTCTTAACACATTAAGCCCTAGCCCATGAGGGAATTTTCTGGTGCATTTAGCAGCCACTAATGAAGAACATACAAACTTACTCAACGAACATGTTTTGAACACTACCAATGTGCTGTCGCAAGTTGTATCCTTTGATCAGAAAAATTAGCTTGATTTTGTGGCTGCAGATGACCAAGATGCTCATAGACTGGTAGGGGAAACAGAAATATTCACAGTTAATTTAACATGATAATTTGTTAAGTGCAATGATAGATGTGCTCAGTACTATGCACAGAGGAGAACTTAACAACTGGGGAAGGACTAGATGGAGGGAATAATGCCTGTTCTAGGTCTTAAAGAATGACAGCCAAACAATAATGCAGAAAATAACTTATAGGTAGAAGGACAGTGTGAGCAAAGTTACAGAATACTATGAATTAGGTATCTGGATGGCTGGAGTTGAAAAGCAAAGCAAGAGGTGACGAGATTAGGTGGGAAGGGTGGGCAACAGCCAGATCAGGGGAAAAAATCTCAAACTAAGGATAACCTAAGAAGACAGGAGCCATTTAAGAATTTTAAGCAATGAAGTGACTTGGTCATATTTATATATTTATGTTTTATATTGACTGGCAGCCATGGAGAGCATAAATTTGAGAGGGACAGGCTGGGGGAGGAGGTCAATTTGGAGGATGTGGTAATAGACTTGTAAAGAGATGACTTGGATCAAAAAAAGAACAGTGGAGGTGGGGATGGAAAGAAGGGAATGGATTTAATAGATATTCAGGAGAACTTGGTGATGGATGAAATATGAAAGTTTAGGAAAAGAGCAATACCAAGAATAATTCCCAGGATTCTAGCTTGGGTGAATGGGTAAATTATTTCTTCTCCATCTAAAATAAAATACAGAAGGAGAAGATTTGGAAGAGGGAAGTGATCTGAGATATTCTGGTTTGGACATTCTAAACATGAGACATCTGTGGGACAGCTGAGAAGGGATTTCCAATAGGCAGTTTCTGTATTCACATATATGAGTGTGAATCTCAGTATGGGCTGAAGATATAGATTCGAGAATCACTACTAAATCAAGAATAGGAACAAGACAGAGAGTGTGAGATGTTCATAAAGGAAGCCCACAAAATAGAAAATAAGTAAATTATAAGAAGAACCAAGAGAATGTAGTGTCATGGTAGCCCAATGAAAAAAGAATTTAAGGTAGGAAGGAGTAGAAAATTGTATGATGTGCAAAAATGATGTTCCAGTAAGAACTGAGAAGAAAAATCTGGTGGTTTTGTCAGTTTGGATATGCTTCATGGCCTTATTAAGATCTGTGAAAGAACTGGACGTCAGAATGGGGAGGCTTGATGTATAGAACATTAACCTTTTCAAAAGTTGATTTTCCTTCTATCCTTCCGCATAGCCCACCTACATGTATATCTTATTCAGATGGTGCCACAATGAATAGTAGTGATTCTCCAACTTACCACTACTACTTTTGTTCCTTTTCTGATGCAATCCCAGACACTAATGATGATCCCTACTCTATTTGATTATACTTCTGACACTTATGGAATGATGGCACCTTTCAAACTAGGCTGGCTTTGAAATCTTCCCCTCCTCATCAGACTGTAGAACAGCTTTGCCATGGCACTCTGGTGACCTTGCACATGTCTACATAGGCCATATAGGCAAGGCTCAACTACAGTCTGACACATGTCTTGGCAAAATGCCCAGTGATCTTTTCTGGAACATGGCAAAACAGTCTCTTGAGGAGCTATCCTAAGTCCATTGCTCATCTGCCATCCTGGTTCCAGTGAGGCATGGGACTTTCCACCTCACCCCAGCTTCAAGTACAGCTTCTAACTGTAGAACTGTTCAGCTGTAGTTTAGAGTTGGCTCCTCAATGAGAGTGACCCACCACTTGTATCATGTATCATCTGGCTCCTCTGGTTTGGTATCATCCTATGGAACTAGGGATGTGGGAGTTGACAGTATGATGATCTTGCATTGCTGCCTGTGTAAATAATAAACTTTCTAAATCCATTTGGACTTGTTTTTGCCTTACTGGTTGAATCTATGGAAGTGTGATAAGCCAAGATAGAAGCTGCCACCATGCTGCTGCTTAGGTACTGCTTGACCACTTGGCACAGGTCAGATCTAGGAAGTCCATAAAGAGTCCCAAAAGGAGTGAGTTCTGCTGAACCCTCTGCCTGGATAAACTAGGCCAGGTCAGCCCTGGCCTAGTAAATCATCATCATCATCATCAGCAGCAGCAGCAGCAGCAGCAGCAGCAGCAGCACAAACTAGATTTCAAATTTGAAAAGACTGTTTACCCTAATCATTGGGGTAAACCCATAATTAATAAAAACCCAGTGTTAACGTTGCAGGATAAAAATGCTGAGTTAAACCCTTTCTTCTGAGCTTTAACATTATTTATTTACAAAACACCTAGATTTTAGGGAATTCCCTCATAGTCAAGATGTAAGGTTCATTTTCATCTGAACATTTAGCAGTCTTACTTTATAGTGGCACATGTGAACTGGCAAAATTGGTGCTAGAGAAGTTCAGAGGTCCTGTTTATAAGTTAACTGATACATCTCTATAGATCAAATTTTTTAAAAGTAAGAGTGCTTAAGGTAGGAGACAAAATATTTAATCCTTGGGCAATAATTGGCTACAGAAAAGTAAAATTGGGGAGTGGGAAAGGAAGATTGCTTTCTTTCCCCATAGATTTTGTCTTTTTTCTCAAATGGGTCTTATTTACTTCTAGGAAGATTGGCAAATTAAGGATGCTCATACCAAGTGGAACAAATCAGTTATTCCTACTGACCAAGAACTGTATCCAGAAAGAGAGAGAGGCATGTAAGTTTGCCACAGCTTTTTGACATTTTCTTGATTTTTAAAGGAAACTTAATTATCTTGGTGATCTAAGAAATGAAAATATTTTTGTTTAGTTTCTCTTAGGAACTATTTCAAATACTTTGTAGGACAATGCAAGCTAACATTTATTGATTTTTCAACATGAGCATCTACTTTGTATGGTTCCTATGCCAAGTACTATAGATACAAAAATGAGTAAAACATGGTTGCTGTCCTCAATCCCTGTAAACAAAACAAAACATGCAAACAAGTGAATTGTCAGAGATATACAAAAGTATTTTGGGTGTATTTCATAGTACGACAATATAAATGCATACCAAATGAATAAATAAATAGGCATCTTTCTAGATGGCAATGTAATTTGTACATTATACAATGTTGTGTCTCCATTCATTCATTCATTCATTTAACATTTATTAAATGGTTACTGTGTGCTGAGGACCATGGATAAACTAGTGAATATAATGGGTACATATCCTGTCCCTATGGAGCTTACAATCTAGTGGGACACATACGATATAATTATACACACACACACACACACACAATAGTCAGCAGAGACAAAATGGTGAGCTTTAGTAATGAAAGTAACAAGAACAGATACATATATCAAATCATGGACAGTATTGGTGTAAAACATACAAGGTATAGTGATAGAGAACAAGTGGGGTGAGGGAGAAAGGAAACTCCTCAAGGTGATCAGAAATTTCTTTGAGTAGGTGACTTTTAGGCACAGTCTTGAGATATAAGAAAACTACAGGGAGGCAAAGATCAGAAATAGCCCATTCAAGGAAGAAGTAAAAGCATGTGTGAAGTCACTGGAGCAATAGTTTGAGGTGACTGAGGAACAGAAAGCAAATCATTGTGCCTGAAACATTGTGAATGGGTGAAGGCATGAAAGAGGCTGGAGTTGGAGAAAATGGGTCTTGTAAGTCCACGTGGTAACTGGCTTAGAGAGCAGTGAAAAGCCATTAAGACTTGTATGCCAGTCAGAAATATGATTGATTTATATTTATAAATTACGGATGGGGACTTGCACTCTACTTCTAGAAAGATAAAGTAGAGATACCATGCCCTATTCCTCCCACTAAATACATCTAAAAACCCTGGACATTATATGTAAAATAAACATAAGAAGACTTTGAAAAGCAGAGCGAAGAAAGCAGACCAGCAAGGGAAATTTGACCCAAGGAATGACACGGTAGTGAGCTCTCCAAGATTTTTATTTTTTGCCTCATATATCACAGACTTAGAGCTGAAGAAGCCAGCAACCTGGAAACACCAAGGGCACAAACCAAAAAGTCCCAAGAAAAGCCTCTCTCTCTAGCTAAGTGACCAGGAAGGAGGCAACCTAGCAAAGCAGAAAACATTGAGATAGTAACCACTCTATGCTTGCCAAACACCACAGAAAAAAACTGAAGCTCAACCCACACCTATGCCTCCAAAGGCACAGTAGGGAGCCTAGACTTCTATCTTTGCCAGGCTGTAGAAAGGCATTCCAGCACCTCTGCCATGGTGGTGTCAGAGAAAGCCAAGTGGGAACAGAGATTTTCATCTTTGCCAGGCAGTAAAACCATCCCCACTTCCAGTGTCAGGGAAGCCTGAATTGCTACCTCTACCCACCCAGCAGTGATGGAGTATCCCTTTCCCGCCTGGAGTGGCGTCAATGGAGTCCTTGTGGCGAGTCAAGACTTTGATCACTGCCTAGCAGTAATGAAATCACCTCCCATCCCATGATGTCAGCATAGACCAAATGGTGAGCTTAAGTAATGAAACACTCCTACCCCTCCCATCCTAGGAGGTATTAGTGGAAACCTGTCGAAAATTCAGAACTCCAACCATGGCAGCCAGTAAAGAGAAGCCCCACTTTCAGGTGTTAGTGAAGGCTGAGTGGGGAACCTGAACTTTTACTACACCTGGCAGAAAGAAGGCAGCACCCCCGCTTCCTCTGCTGGAGTGGTGCCACAACTAAAAGAAGGTTTACAAAACATCTAGAGGCTCATAACATAATATCCTTAATGTTCAGATTTCAATTGAAATTCACTTGACATACTAAGAACCAGGAAGATCTCAAACTTATTGAAAAAAGACAATCAATGAATGCCAATAATAAGATGACAGAAATCATAGAATTATCTGACAAAGATTTTAAAGCAGGCATCATAAAAAATACTTCAATGGACAATTACAAAAATACTTGAAATATATGAAAAAGCAGAAAATCACAGCAAAGAAATAGAAGAAATAAAGAAGAAACAAATGAAATTTAATAACTCAAACATAATAACTAAAATAAAAAAACTGAATGTAGAGGCTAAACAGCAGAAAGGAGGGGACTCAGGAAAGAATCAGTGAACTATTAGAATAATAGAAATTACTAAATCTGAACAAAAAAGAGGAAATAGACTTAAAAAAAAACCACAGCCCTAGGGACATGTGGCGTAAAAACAAAAGATCTAACATTTATGTCATTGATGTCCTATAGAAGAAGACAAAGAAGGCGAGGCTGAAAAAGGATGCAAAGAAATAATGGCTAAAAACTTCCAAATACAGCAAAAGACAAACCTACAGATTCAAGAGGCTGAATGCAGTTCAAATAAGATAACTAAACAAATCCATACTTGTCAAATTGTCAAATTTCTGTCATTGTCAAATTTCTGAAAACTAAAGGCAAAGAAAAAAAAATCTCAAAAACAGCCAGACAGAAGCAATATCTTACCTATAGGGGAAACATAATTTGAATGATAGTTGATTACTTATCAAAAATCATAGAGTCCAGAGGATGTCAGCAAAACGGTGAACTAGGAAGCTCCAAGTTTTTGTTTCCCAACAGAAACAGAAAAATAACAACAGGAATCAGAAATTTACATGTAAGAAAATGAATTTGGGCCCTTATCTTACACCATATACAAAAACTAACTCAAAATGGATAAAAGACATAGATGTAAGAGCTAAAACTATAAAACTCTTAGAAGAAAACAATGGAGACAATCTCCATGACATTGAATTTGTCAATGATACCTTATATAATGACAACAAAGGCAAAAGCAATGAACAACAACAAAAAACATAGGTAAATTGAACTTCAATGAAATGATAAACTTTTATGCATTACAGGACATTATGAAGAGAATGAAAAGACAACCCATAGAATGGGAGAAAATATTTACAAATCATATATCTGATCAGAAATTAATATCCAGAATATATAAAGAATTCCTACAACTTAAGAACAAAAAATACACAATCCATCCTATGAGACTTGAACAGACATTTCTCCCAAGAAGATATACAAATGACCAAAAAGACATGAAAAAATGTTCACCATCACTAATCACTAAGGAAATACAAATGAAACTACAATGAGATATCATTTCGTACTCATTAGGCTAGCTACTATGAAAAAAAAACGGAAAATAACAAGGGTTGCTGAAAATTTGGATAAATTAGAACTCTTGAACATTGCTGGGAATGTAAAATGGCACAGCCACTGTGGAAAATGGTTTGGAAATTCCTCAAAAAATTTTTTTAAAAATTACCAATTCCACTTTTTGGTATATACCCAAACAAATTGAAAGCAGGGAACTCAGACAGATACTTTTACACTAGTGTTCATAGCAACATTATTCAAAACAGCCAAAAGTTGGAAACAACCCAAACGTCCATCAACAGATGAATCTATAAACAAAACGTGGTGTATATATACAATGGAATGTCATTCAGCTTTAAAAAAATTGGAGTTCTGACACATGCTACCACATGGGTGAACCTTGAAAACATTATTCTAAGTGAAATAAGCCAGACACCAAAGGACAACTATTATATGATTCCACTTAATATGAGGTACCTATTAAAGAATAGGCAAATTCATAGAAATAGGAAGTAGAGTAGTGGTTACTAGCGACTGGGAGAGGGGACAATGGGGAGTTATTGTCTAATGGATAAGTTTTGGATATGGATAGTGTTGTACAACATTGTTATTAAGGTGCAACTTAACACCACTAGATTTTACACTTAAAATGATTAAAATGGTAAATTTTATTTTATGTATATTTTATCATAATAAAAAATACTAAAAGAAGACAAAAAATACCACCCCAAAACCATAGAGTCCAGAAAGAAGTGGCACAATATTTTTCAAGTGCTGAGAGAAAAAGAAAAAGAACTGTCAACCCAGAATTCTATATTAAATAAAAGTATCCTGCAAGAATAAAAAGTAAATCAAGATATCCTCAGATGAAAGAAAACTAAGAAATTTTGCCAGCTGATTTACCCTAAAAGAATGACTAAAGGAAGTTTTTTTTGTTTTTTTTTTTAATATTTTATTGGGGAATTGGGGAAGGGGAACAGTGTTGGGGGATTGGGAAAGGGGAGCAGCCAAGTTGTTGTCCTTCAATCTTAGTTGTGGAGGACACAGCTAGCTCAGCTCCAAGTCCAGTCACCATCCAGCGGCCCAAAGGCAGCTTGTGACCGCTCAGCTCAAGGTGCCATGTTCAATCTTAGTTGCGGTTGGGCGTAACCCACCATCCCATGCGGGAGTTGAACCAGAAACCTTGTTGTTAAGAATGCACACTGTAACCACTGAGCCATCCGGCCACCCGTAGGCAGCTCAGGGCTGCTCAGCTCAAGATGCTGTGTTCAATCTTAGTTGTGGGTGGGCATAGCCCACCATCCCATATGGGAGTCAAACCGGCAGCGTTGTTGTTAGGAGCATGTGCTTTCACCAGCTGAACCATCCTGCCACCTGTTGGCAGCTCAGTGGCAGCTGAGCTGGGCTCAGCTCACTGACCCATGTGGAAATTGAACCGGCGGCCCTGTTGCTCAGAGTTCGCACTCTTAACCAATTGTGCCACTTTGTTTTTTTAATTAAAGGTTATTGGGGTGACAATTGTTAGTAAAGTTACATAGGTTTCAGGTGTACAATTCTGTAATACAGGAAGTTTTCTAAATAGAAAGAAAATGATAAAATATGCAATGGTAGA